GTGATGTCGTCTTAAAAGCAGAGTCAACCATATATCATTACATTGGTCATTAAAGAAGAGAATGGCCGCGTCATATATATTACTGTCATTTTCAATTGGGTTGAAAAAACAAAAACAACACATAATCGAGCGAATGACCTTGCATATATAAGGCAAAACTCCTTCTGACCTCATGCTTAAGAAGCACCTACGGAGTGTAGTCGTCTCAAAAGCAGATTCCAGCATAAATCCTGACGTTGGTCATTATGGAAGAGAATATAAGCTTTATATATAATTAAGTGTATCTTTTCTTATTTTTGTCTTTCCTAGATTTGGAAGAACACTCCACTCACTGCAGCTGCAGGGAATGGTTACACGGGTATTTTTAGGTGGCTTATAGAGAACGGAGCTGATCTCAACAAAGAAGGATGGGTACATTAGAAGCATAAAATTATATTTGTAATGTAGAGTTAAGTGAAAATGTGATGGTCAAATTTTGTTTGGCTTTTGACTTGTTTTTGCTATTAAGCAAAATGTCGTAAGAAGTAGTGAGGTATTTCTGTTTCGTTCTCGTTGTTTCTTTCGTAGCGTGATAGTGCCGCCTTAGACAATTAGGATAGATAAAAAGGCAAACCTGGCCACAAAAGATTTGGGCTAAAACTTTTCTTAAGGAATGGCTGAATTTGTTTAGAATAGCAAACATTTGGATGCCCTGAACTTTTATAGCTAAGTGCAACAGATTCACCATGATTGATTTGTTGTTCCCTCGACTTAATTACTAGGAAATTGCGTGGTGATAAATTGAAAATGTTTAAGGTGATTTGTCAGTGTCGTTGAAAAAGTATTCCCTTAAAAAGTTAAACGCCCATTAGTTCCAGATCGAGTATTATGTAGTTTATATACTTTAAAAAGTTTTGTGTGATTTGGTTAACTGTTGTTCAAGGTAGTACTCCTCCTGACCCTTTCCTTGAACACCTGAAGAGTGATGTCGTCTTAAAAGCAGAGTCAACCWTTGTGTGATTTGGTTAACTGTTGTTCAAGGTAGTACTCCTCCTGACCCTTTCCTTGAACACCTGAAGAGTGATGTCGTCTTAGAAGCAGAGTCAACCATATATCATTACATTGGTCATTAAAGAAGAGAATGGCCGCTTCATATATATTACTGTCATTTTCAATTGTGTTGAAAAAACAACAACAACGCATAATTGAGCGAATGACCTTGCATATATAAGGCAAAACTTCTTCTGACCTCATGCTTGAGAAGCACCTACGGAGTGTAGTCGTCGCAAAAGCAGATTCAAGCATATATCGTGACGTGGGTCATTAGGGAAGAGAATATGAGCTTTATATATTAGTGTACCATGTCTTATTTTTTTTCTTTCCTGTATTTTGAAGAACACTCCACTCACTGCAGCTGTAGAGAATGGTCACACGCATATTGTTAGGTTGCTTATAGAGAACGGAGCCAATTTCAACAAAAGACGATGGGTACGTTAGAAGCATAAAATTATATTTGTATTGTATAGTTAAGTGAAAATTTGATGGTCAAATTTTGTTTGGGGTATTAGTTGTTTTAGCTATTAAGCAAAATGTCGTAAGAAGTAGTGAGCTATTTCTGTTTCCTTCTCGTCGTTTCTTTCGTAGCGTGATAGTGCCGCCTTAGACATTAGGATAGATAACAAGGCAAACCTGGCCACAAGCGATTTGGACTAAAAAATTTTTAAGGAACGGCTGAATTTGTTTAGAATCGCAAACAGTTGGATGCCCAGAACCTTTTTAGCTACCTGTAACAGATTCACCATGATTAAGTCGTTGTGTCCTCAATTTAACTGGTGGGATATTACGTGGTGATAAATTGAAAATGTTTAAGGTCATTTGTCAGTGTCATTGCGTATCCTGTACCCCGCATTAAAAATAAAAAACAGAATTAGCACAAGAGGAAAACATGTAATCAAGGGAATAAGCTCGCTTGCATTCCTAGAAAATGGTATTGTTTTGCAATTAGTGAACCAAATAAAGAGGTACGATTAGATATAGCTCTTAAATGAGAACAGTGAGCTGTATTTCTTATTTCATAATTTTGGTGTACAATTTTTTTTTTAAGTGCTACTTAAAAATGTATTCGCTTAAAAAGTTAAACGCCCATTAGTTCCAAATCGAGTATTATGTAGTTTATATACTTTATATAGTTTTGTGTAATTTGGTTAACTTTTGTTCAATGTAGTACTCCTCCTGACTCTTTCCTTGAACACCTGAAGAGTGATGTCGTCTTAAATGCAGAGTCAACCATATATCATTACATTGGTCATTAAAGAAGAGAATGGCCGCTTCATATATATTACTTTCATTTTCAATTGTGTTGAAAAAACAACAACAACACATAATCGAGCGAATGACCTTGCATGTATAAGGCAAAACTCCTTCTGACCTTATGCTTAAGAAGCACCTACGGAGTGTAGTCGTCTCAAAAGCAGATTCAAGCATATATCTTGACGTTGGTCATTACGGAAGAGAATATGAGCTTTATATACTAGTGTACCTTCTCTTATCTTTGTCTTTCCTACATTTTGAAGAGTACTGTACTCACTGCAGCTGCAAAGAATGGTTACACGGATATTGTTAGGTTGCTTATAGAGAACGGAGCTGATGTCAACGAAGGAGGATGGGTACGTTAGAAGCATAAGATTATATTTGTAATGTAGAGTTAAGTGAAAATTTGATGGTCAAATTTTGTTTGGCTTTTCAGTTGTTTTTGCTATTAAGCAAAATGTCGTAAGAAGTAGTGAGCTATTTCTGTTTCCTTCTTGTTTCTTTCGTAGCGTGAGAGTGCCGCCTTAAACAATTAGGATAGATAAAAAGGCAAACCTGGCCACAAAAGATTTGGACTAAAACTTTTTTTAGGGAACGGCTGAATTTGTTTAGAATCGCAAACATTTGGATACCCTAAACTTTTATAGCTAAGTACAACAGATTCACCATGATTAAGTCGTTGTTCCCTCCACTTAACTGCTGGGAAATTGCGTGGTGATAAATTGAAAATGTTTAAGGTGATTTGTCGGTGTCATTTCGTATCCTGGTTCCCTCATTTAAAAAAAAAAAAAAAAACAGAAACAGCACAAGAAGAAAACACGTAATCAAACGAATAAGCTCGCGTGCATTCCCAGAAACAACATGGTATTGTTTTGCAATTAATGAACCAAATAAAGAGGTACGATGAGATATAGCTCTTAAAGGAGAACGGTGAGCTGAATTTCTTATTTCATAATTTTGGTGTACAAATTTTTGTTAAGTGCTCCTTGAAAAAGTATTCCCTTAAAAAGTTAAACGCCCATTAGTTCCAAATCGAGTAATATGTAGTTTATATACTTTATATAGTTTTGTGTGATTTGGTTAACTGTTGTTCAAGGTAGTACTCCTCCTGACTCTTTCCTTGCTTGAAAAAGTATTCGCTTAAAAAGTTAAACGCCCATTAGTTCCAAATCGAGTAATATGTAGTTTATATACTTTATATAGTTTTGTGTGATTTTGTTAACTGTTGTTCAAGGTAGTACTCCTCCTGAAGCTTTCCTTGAACACCTGAAGAGTGATGTCGTCTTAAAAGCAGAGTCAACCATATATCATTACATTGGTCATTAAAGAAGAGAATGGCCGCTTCATATGTATTACTGTCATTTTCAATTGTGTTGATAAAACAACAACAACAACACATAATCGAGCGAATGACCTTGCAGATATAAGGCAAAACTCCTTCTGACCTTATGCTTAAGAAGCACCTACGGAGTGTAGTCGTCTCAAAAGCAGATTCCAGCATAAATCCTGACGTTGGTCATTAGGGAAGAGAATATGAGCTTTATATATTAGTGTGCCTTCTCTTATTTTTGTCTTTTCTAGATTTGTAAGAACAGTCCACTTACTGCAGCTGCAGAGAATGGTCACACGGATATTGTTAGGTGGCTTATAGAGAACGGAGCAGATGTCAGCAAAGGAGGATTGGTACGTTAGAAGGATAAAATTATATATGTAATGTAGAGTTAAGTGAAAAATTGATGGTCAAATTTTGTTTGGCTTTTCAGTTGTTTTTGCTATTGGGCAAAATGTCGTAAGAAATAGTGAGGTATTTTTGTTTCCTTCTCGTTGGTTCTTTCTTAGCGTGATAGTGCCGCTTTTGACATTAGGATAGATAACAAGGCAAACGTGGCTACAAAAGATTTGGACTGAAACTTTTTTTAAGGAACGGCTAAATTTGTTTAGAATCGCAAACATTTGGATGCCCTGGTCTTTTATATTAAAATTTACTTAAATTGTAGCCCTAAGAGGAAAATGGTTGTGCCTCAAATGCTTCTGTCTTATGTTGTTGTTATTATTTTGAGAAGCATTTCTTTATTGCTGAATAGTAGGTCTTGAAACCCACTGCCATTGCAAAGCTACATTAAACTTTAGCTTCTTAAGTGAGACTGTTCAGAGAGTTCATGAGTCTTTTTTACCTAATTTTCTAGTTTGTCATCGCAATCGAGCCGCTTGTAGATAGAAGAAAGTTCGAAGCGGATGCCAGGGTATGTTTGGTTGCTCTTCAGAAGAAGTTTTAAGTTTGTATTAGAAATTCCGCATCGGTTTAATAACCATATTTACCCTCGCTATTGAACATAAACAGATAGGTCAATTGGGATTACGCAGGGATATTTCAGGAAACGAGTTTTATGTTATGTGCATTTTGTAAACACTCCACTGTTAATATGAACTTATTGAGCTGAACTTCCTTGATCTTCATTACATCTCAGGTGTGATACTAAGAATGTTTCCTCCCTTGTAGTCCCCTGACAGAATATAAAACACTTGAATTTACAATCATTCCCTTTTAGGAAGCCTGTCGGTGAATTGGTGCATTCTTAGCCATGCTGTATTCTAAATATTAACTTGAGCAGGCTGAAAAAGGGATATCCCCAATTTGCATTATTATATTCTTTAACTGATACGTGTTAAACATCTGGTGTCAGTGTGTACTTGCTGTGCTAAGACTGAGTATAGTGCTGAGAGGGTTAAACCAACAACTTACATTCTAAGAATAATAACGTGTAGCTTTTAGTGCATTGACTGATTGAAGTAATATTTGAACCATTTTCAGGATACTAAACTATCACTTGAAAGACATGTAGATGTACAGGTATGTTAGAAACTTAAAAAGTTATTTTTCTGAAAACGTTTTCATTTAAAAAATTTAAAAACCTGATCATGCAGCAGGAGCGAATTGATGCTTGATTCATCAAGAATAGAGAGAACATCGATCTATCAAAAATAGGGAACATCATACTACAACAAAAGTCCTTGTGTTTAAGACTGAGCATGAAATTTTTACTTTCTCTGAAAAGATACTAAATTTGAAATACTTGGCTACAACTATTATCGCCTTGTTATGTGCCCTGTCCCTTGGTCTGTTGTAGATAGGTAATCAGATAATTGATTTCCATGCTACTATTAAAAACATTAAATTAAGGAGTCGACCCAATCCTTTTGTCAACGCTGAAATCATTTCTCTAATGAGAACAAGAGATAGCTGGAGAAAGTTTGCTAGAAAAACAAACGACTCCCGGGCACGGGCCGCCTAGAAGAACTTTGAGAAGAAAGTCAAGCGTTAACTAAGGTTTGCAGAACAGGAGTATGTTGTACAGGAAATCTGGAACAATTCTGCTAATATAGGCTGTATTGAGAAAGCAATCACGGCTTGTGTCCCTAAGGAATCAGTCTATCGCAAAACAAGCGGTAAAGACGACAAAGTGGTCGCGGATGAGTTAAACGAAATTTTTACCTTAATCGGCGGAACCGTTGAAAAAATCCAGAGTCTCGCAGATCAATGTAATTACGGTCTCACGAAATCATCCTTTGTCCAAAGGCGTCACCCACTAGCAAAGCAATTCTCATTTGGAACGGTTAAATGTAAAGAAGTTGAAAAGACAACCAATTCCATGCTTATAGGAAAATCTTCCGAGAACGACAAAATAATTGCGCGTTTTGAAGAATTGTTTACTGTCAATTCCTTCAACTTTAACAACTCTTATTAATGGTTCCCTTTCATCTGGTATCTTCCCAAAAATCTGGAAAACAGCAGAGGTAACGCCAGTTTTAAAACATGGCGACCATGAAAAGCCGGATGATAATCGCCTTATATCAGTACCTTATATCAGTATCGCCTTATATCAGTCGCCTTATATCAGTCGCCTTATATCAGTATCGCTCCGACGAAGGGCTAACGCTCGAAACGTCAGCTTTTGTAATCATTACGGTGGCCAATTTACCATTTCAACTTTGTTGATATATCCAAATTATTTCGTTACTCCCACCGACGCAGCCCCAAACAGTTTCTTTCGAAACTATCAGCCTTTATTCATTTATATCAGTACTGTCTATTTTGTTTAACGTATGCAAGCGAATTGCATTAAATCAATTAATTTCATATTAAGTGTCGAACAAGCGACTATCGACAATCTAGAGCGGCAATAAGAAATACCACTCGACCGAATTCTCGTTATTGCATACTGCTGATGCTAATCCAAAGCCAATTACCAAAAGAAAACAATCGCGTTTGTTCTTTTGGAGCTGAACAAGGCCTTTGATAGCATCAACCACAACATTTTATTGGATAAACTACATGATGTCTGCCCTTTAACTTCAGCTCTTAGATGGTTTAGTAGCCATTTGTCTGAAAGAAACGAGACTGTACACATTAATCCCACACTCTCGGATGCGCTGCCGCTGGCCAGCGGAGTCCTGCAAGGTATTAAGCATCCGAGGGCCGTGGCTTTTTACCATATATGTGAACGACCTACCGACTGTCCACAAGACCTGTTCATCGGATTTTTCTGTCGATGATGCCAAATTGTACTTTTCGTTTGTTGTACATGATTATAAGAAAGCTGTTTCTGCTATGAATGAAGACCTGGCTTCTTGATAACCATTTGTTAATAAACCCGGAGAGGGCCAAATTAATCTTATACGGAAGCAGAAAGATGACAGAAAGACTTCCACAATTCTACCTGTCTCTTTTAGGGTAAGAACTCGTACTAACTCAATCTGTTCAGTACCTCGGCGTGACCCTCGACCAAATTTGACCTTAAACTGAGTTGGTATCACAACTTAAGTTCATCTCTGGTCGCCTATTCTTGACAGAAGAATGAAGATGATGAAAAAGAAAGCAGAATAAGACTAGAAAACGTTCAACAAATACATATCGTAAGGGTAGCAAAAATTAATATCAGAAGGTTCATAAATTTTGAGCTCGGTAGTGAAAGGGGGAAAGATGTCTTTTCGTCTTCTCATGATCTTCGAGCATAGAGAAATTAACCAAAAATCCTGTGATTCGACTCTTAATTGAAACTTTTCTATTTTCAACGCACGGAATAACACGAAAAAAACATCTTACTTCAATTGACCTATTCTATTACCCTACTTAAACCTGCTTTCCATTCTGCAAATGCTCCCGAGTCTTATCAATATAACTATGACTGAGAAACTATAACATACTTTTACACTTCTCTTCATGTATACAAAATGTACCTCTTTCTCTCCTCATAGCTGAGAGGAAAGAAGGTAGCAAGTTTGCCTAAACGGCCAGGAAAGAAGTTGAAGACCCAAACAGAGATGACCAGTCCGAGAGACATCATTGAGGAAAGCAAATGTGGAAAAGACTCGATGACAGATGTTGAGCTTGGCTTAAACTGTTTACATCTTAGCCCGAGATGTGAACAGTTTAAGCCTTGCATTATGGAAGAATTACCTGGTGATTCTTCCATAATGCGTCATGATTTTAAACCTATCAGCAAACGTATGGACAGAGTGACATTAAGAGATGTAGACAATGCCAAACAAGGTCATTGGGTAGTTGTTGAAGTAGCAAAAACTCACCCTAGAGGTTCCATTATTTATGGGATAAAGATCAATGAGGAAGGGTCCGGTGTGCTGGGTGAACCTTTTCAACTGGCGACGAAAGATCTCAAAGATACTTGGGAGGATGAAGAAGTGAAAGCTGAAAATGTTCAAATTGGTTCAGTGTTCAAGTACGTTCAAGTAGGAGATGAATTTGTCTTTCAAGGGAACACGAAACGTCCGCGACAGGTGAGCAAGCTTTTTTTTTTATTATGTTTTAGTTCGATTTTGAATACCCCGCTGTCTAGAAACTTATAGATCACAAGAAAGAGATTGTGAAACGTTTGAACCGTCCACACATCAGGTTATTTCTAATGTCACATAGGGCAGAACTGATCATGGAGTAATTTTTTTGTTAATTATGCGCATCAGGTTATCAAGACTCTGATTTGGCCATAGAATTTGAAGGCTTCAGATAATTATTAATATCTTTGCGGTGCTTATTGATATTTTTTCTTTGGATTCATGGTTTTTCTTTTTGTCATCGTTGGTGTAATTGTTTTTTTTTTCTTGCAAAAATCGTGACTTGATTCTTAAGAGGTTCATATTTAAAAGTTTTATTACAGAATTTTACACTTCGAGGGTACTTCATAATGCATTTGTTTGCAGAATGTGGATAAGATTCTTCTGGACCTTAGCTGTGCTGGTGGTTCCTGCCGAGACATTAGGGATGCCTATTCTTATGCAGAAATTTCGTCTGAAAGGATTCACCAAGACTGTGCATCTAAGGAGACCCTATGCTTTATCAGCATTAAATGTAGCGAGATCCAAAATGAAACTATTTCATTTGTAGCAAAGCTTGGAGAACTCTTGAACCTCAAGCTTAATTGCAGAGAACATTTTATGCTGCATCGATCACCAGGTGCATTGCAACTGATTGACGGTGAAGAACCGCATCTGATTACGGGAGATGATGGTTCAAGTAAACCATGGGATTATTTGCGAGGGTCTCGTTCCGAGTAAGTTAATATAACTTCTTATCATACCCTTTTTGTTAGAAATAGCGCCCAGGGCCCTCTTTAAAATGTCGGCTAAAAGTAGGAGTGCCTTTTGGAAGGAGGGGCACTTGATAGAGGGGGCACTTATGGATGATTTTTAGATTTATTTGTTAACTCGCCACGAATGGTGCCTTTACTCCCCACTTTCAATTGAAATTTGCATGCAACCACCTAATCAGCGGATAAAGGTATTTTATACTTCACGTGCTTCACGTGTGCTATCAAATTGTTCCTGGAAAAGGAAGATGTCTGTATCAAATGATCGCTGATATTATATTCGAATATTCTGCTTTAGACATAAGCTGGCTTGAATGCTATATTGTTATTTAAAAGGCTCTCTTGTTGCTTACTGAGCATTCCCCCCCCCCCTCTGAAGTGTAATGGAGAACTTGTGATATTAGGAAACCTGTTACAAATTCTGGGCCTAGTAAAAATTTTTTGCTAGGCAGAATTTCAGAAGTTTCATTGCGATGTATTAATGTTAACGCTATGGATTAACAAGTAATCCAGGCGTAAAAGCAGTAGTCCTTGTGCCTTCCTGCCCAGAAACCTGTTAGGGGTTTAAAGAATATAAGGAAAGTTACCTTTCTATCGACTTTGTAGACATTCTAACTGTTTCAATTTCTTTCTACCCAGAAAATGAGCCCAGGGAAATCTCATTTGACAAAAAACCTGACGATGAAGCTGAGAAAACCGACGATGGTATTAACAATTGAAATTTAATTAGGATACGTGAACTACCACGTCCAAGGTGTGAAAAAAAAAACTATCAACGTGGAATTAAAATATGAAAGTTAAAACTTATGGTGCCAGAAGGCGATATTTTTGTAATGTGGATTAGTAACCATTATAACTATCGTCAGAGAACACARTTTTTTTTAAAGTTGAGCAAGTTATTGGTGCTGTTTTTGTTGATGAATTATTTAGAATATTGTATATCCTTAGAAATTTTATAATATTTCGATCATTACTATTGTTCCTAAATTGAGCACAGAGTGTAGAGGCCTTTGTTGCCTTCTATTTCCATTGATGGGGTTAGTCGTTTGGGTAAGCTTTCATCATTTTACTTTCGTTTGACTGAATCGCTAAACTTTCCCTTTTAATGAGACATTACATTCTTGGGCTTTAAGAATATTTACCATTCTGATTTGACAGAACTTAATCGAAAAAACCGTTACCACATTTTGCAGTTGGTGGATTTGAGTCAACTATAGAGAATTTTTAATAATTGTAACTACTATCTATCATAAGAAGATGGTCTGTAGTTGGAAGAATTCCCCAGGAGTTAGGTAGACCGCTGGAAAGAAGTACATTTTACGCCTTTGCTTGCCGTCAAAAGTAGGATTCACAGACTTATTTTACAGAGCGGGAGGTGTCTGGGAATTCTTCCTTAATTCAATGCTAGGGTCAATATTGAATGACCTGGATGATACCTGAATAGTGTACAATTAAATTTTCTTTGTTTTTGTAAATAAAACACTTCTTTACGATAACGAAAACTTAAGCAGGAAATGGAGGAGGAAGGCCAGTAATCTTAAATTTCGAAAAAATGTGAATGTTTGTACTACGAGGTCAATTGTATGTTCAGCAAGTGTTAGAAAAGTTTTCTTGTATGAAATCATGCTGAATCGAGTAATTATTTTAGGTGAATATACAAGAAAGGGAAATAGCAGGTTATCCGAAATTGATGATAACGCAATATTGTTTATATTATTAGAATTGTATAGCTTTTATTGATGGTCAGCTTCAGGTTTAATGATGAAGGATTTAAGTGATCATTATCCTTAGTTAGTTAGTAGTTCTTTATTTAATGTGGCACCGCACTTAGCTACAAGCTACTTTCCAGGAAGCCCACAATAAAATATACAATAAAAATTACAACCTACATCAAGAAATTATGTACATTAAGTAAAATATTATTACAAAAAGGATATCGCAAATTTAAATGTGTGTAGTAAAACAGAGATCAAAAACTAAAAACTTAATATTTTAGGCGACGGATAACGTGYAAAAAACGTTCTTGTACCAGCCTTTGCGCGTATAGCATCTGGTATAGCGCATTCCAAGTCTTAGCAGCAAAATAACGAAATTACTGCTTGGTACTGTTAACCTTAGGTAAGGAAAGCATGTTAGTGCCTCTCAAATTGTAATCCGGCAGTCCTCCTTGGTTTAACTAAGTCAGCAATAGGTCTAGGAGCCTTCTATAGAAAGCAGTTAGTGACCGTTGGCAACTTGTCTTGAATCCTACGACTCTTCAATGTCGTATGCAAGCCGATACAATCGAGCAAGTCTTTTCTATGAAATACCCTTAACTTTATGTACATATCTAGGCGCACGTTGATTTACCCTTTCCATTTTCTTTGTATTCCTTTCCCCACAGTGGTGCCATATGTGGCTACAATAATCAAAGTGAGGTAAAATAAATGCGCGATAAAGTGCGTCCTTAGTTTTAAGGGGCAGGATGTGTTTAATCCTATTTAAAGCATTAACCTGACCCGCCACCTTTCGACAGATTGATGCAACATGAGTATCAAATTTCAGCTTGTCAGCCAATGTTACACCTAATAATTTTATCTCACTGGAAATAGGTATTGGCCTCCCTGCGCATTCTAACTGGTAATCACAATCAGTCTTTCCTTATACCAAACCCTGATATTTGTCAGGATTTGCTACCATCCCATTCTGTCGAAACCATTGTGTTGTACTGGCTAAGTCTCGGTTTATACCTTCCTCCAATCCTCGGGGATTATGGTGTGATAAATAGAGTTTAGTGTCGTCTGCATAACTTAGAAGTCTACAATTCTCAACCGCGAATACGAGGTCATTCAAAAGATGTTAAACAATAGCGGTCCTAGTAATGACCCTTGGGGCACTCCGCTATGCACACCCATCCACGTGGAGAAAGTATTCCCCAACTTAACCCGTTGATATCGCGAAGATAAATAACTCCGTAAGAGTAAAACGGAATCTTTTTAAAGTCTATAAAAATTAAGTTTCTCAAGGAGCAGATCGTAGGGTAGGCACTCAAACGCCTTGCTAAGGTCAATCGCTACCGTTCCTGTGAATGATTTTCTCAAATACTTTGGCAAAGGCAAAGTGTCTAGGCACTTCCCTTTTTGTGAACTGGCGGGTGTAATTTGGCCTCGTTTCCAGTTATCCGGAAACTGTGCTGTTGGTATAATGGTATTAACTAGATCACTTGGAGGCTTTGTTATAGAGCCAGAGGAAGCTTTAACAGCCTGTGGTGGAAAAACGTCGTATCCCTGTGCTTTGTTAGTCTTGATATCTTCAAGTACCGTTTTCACAACGCGAGGGTTAGTCAACTGAAAACTAAATGCATTGGCTGCTTCAAGTTGTTTACCCCAGGAATTCTCAGTTTAAATGAGTCTGATCACTGAAAGCACTAAAGTACTCATTAAAGGTTTCAGCAACTTCACTCTGGTCCCTGATGATTCTGTCGTTCTCTTTGAGAACAATAAAGTCCCCCGACCTGTGTTTTCTGGTATGTATTAAGGTGGCTGAACACAGTTTTTGATACCTGTGTTTCTTTCACCATTTTCTCTAAGACCCTTGATCTCTCGGTCGCCAAAACTGGCAGCAAGCAAGTCAACAATACAAACTTTGTTTTTTCGATAGTCAAGCTGACGTAGGAGCCGTTTCCATGGCGACATGAATAAATATCAACAGGCCTTTAAAATCGGTTTTGTGTATTTGTAGAAAATCTAGTCATTAGATTTTCTTTATATTTTGCATGCAACGAGCTTGTAACGATACTCACAAGTTAATACCATTTTGTTAACAATTTAACAGAGAGATTTTTAATTATTCCTTGTTGAAGGTTCACTCGATTATCTAGAATTTCCTTTGTTAAAAATAATTTTTTTCCAATACTTCATTTACTTATTTCGTGAAGTATTTTCGTGCCAAATTTCGTGAAATTCTAATGAGTGGTAAGTAAGTAAGTAATAAAACCTTTATTTAGACACGATAAGTATTAAAGCTGTGCAGCTTGTGGGGTCAAGAAATATGCATATTTCCGAGAAAGCAATTTTCCATTCAATCGCAATTTTTTTACTTACTACGCATGCGCTGCATTTAACTGGGTTCTTTCAGTAACGAAGAAAAAGCTGAGAATTGTTGGGTTCTTCAGTTTACACCGTTAACTTTTCTAACATGTCTTTGTAATAAAAGATTAAAGCTCTCAATACACTGCGCCAACTATAGAGAAAAATAGCACAGATAGTGCGGATACGTGTTGAGTAAATAAAATGACTGCTCTATTGACAAACTGTTTGTTTTTTTGCAATCCTTGTGCGCGCGCTGAGTTGCATCAACAAAAGCGCGAGCGAAAACTGAGTTCGGCCACCTTAAAGGTCGTAGTGATTTCCAGAAGGCCCTCGGATTACCCGCTCGCGAAGTGCCTAGCTGATCAAAATGATGTATAATAGATTGACGACGCAGAGCAATCACACGGTTTCTTTGACATCTGTAGGCCTCCCAGTCGTCTGCTGATCGAGTTTGATAAAATTTACGCTTGAGAGCATTTCTCTTCCACATAGCTTTACTTTTTTCCGGTGTAATAAAGTTTGATTTTCGAGGGATATCCCTGAAGCGTTTAGCTTTCATTAGAGCATGGTCATCCAACACATCTGCAAACAATTTTTCCCACGTCCAGCAAATATCGCTGACATCCTCAAAAGTATAGGCAATATTGAAAGGAATACACTCTATATCGTTGTTGAAAGCTTGTTCATTAAAATTTTTAAAACGCCTTCGCCTCGTGAAAGTAGTTTTCGGCTTCATCACCTTTCTATTTAAAACGGTAGAGACTAATTTATGATCGTTGAGACCTGTCTCCAGAGACCCTGGTTGTAATTCAAAAGCAGGCACGTTCGTCGCTATAATGTCTAAACAAGATTCTTTGGTGAGAGAAATTCTGGTCGTCTGTGTAATAAGATTTTGAAGATCATAGACATCACGGATATCTAGCCACACCCTTCCTTCTTTGCCATTATCTAGCGGATGTAGAATATCACAGTTCAAGTCTCCTAAGCATATTATGTTTGGACGATTAGAGATCGCAGCATCCAAGAAAGTAGACATCTCACTCCTGAAAGTGTTAATGTTTACAGATGGTGGCTTATAGCCACATAATAAAGAAATATGTTGTTGGCCAATATGAATATTGACCAAAATAGCCTCAACCTCGTTGGATTTAATTCTTAGACAATCCGAAGGT